TTCCTTCCTTCCTTCCTTCCTTCCTTCCTTCCTTCCCTGATAAGGGACTTTCTCTTTTTTTAAGTGGTGAAGCTGACAAGAGTTTCCCCTTCTAGCTGGAGTTACAGAAAGAACTGTAAAACTGAGGCTGGGTTTTCTCATCAGCCCTCAAGAGAGATGCCCAAGGAGACGGAAGCCATTGGTGCTTGCTTTCCTGCATGGACGGGAGGATGAAGAAACAGGGGGATACACCAGCCAGAGAACTGCTGTCCAGACAGAAGACCTGGCTATCTCCTTTGTGAAAGGGAAGGGAGCATAGACATTTGCAAAGGAGAATTTAATAAACAGCTTCCTCAACACCCAGTTTACACATGAAGACCAGCAGCTGAGTTTGTTGGAGAAATACTTTCCTTCTTAAAAGAGTCAGAGCTGGAAGGGGCCACTGAGTCCAACCTTCTACCCCTTCTTGTGCTTGAATTAGTCCAGTATAGGAGGTCCCAATGACCATCTCTCCAGGGGTCATTGGTGGAGGGCTATGGAGTGCTTTGTATTTCATTTCTAAAAGGTGGTTGACAGAATATGGGATTCAAATGATGCAACTGCTAAAAGCAGACACAGCTCCTCCTGGAAAAGTGTGGCAGAGATTCTCATTTGCCTTTGGCACTTGTCCTTCTGCATTATGCTACTTAAAATTCCGAACCATTGCCACATAATATCTTTCTCCACACACATTCATCCACACCATCACCAGTTTCACTCCAATGATGCATCTTATGGAAGAGCATGCTTTACGGCAGACATTAATCTTGCTATTTTCAGATGCTGAAAAATGCACCAGATGTCCAGCAGATCAGCATCCAAACATCAACCAAGATGACTGTATACCTAAGATTGAAACTTTCCTATCCTATCAAGAAAATTTGGGGATGATCCTATCTTCCCTCACCTTGTTCCTGTGTTTGGTAACAGGTTTAATCTTGGGAATCTTTATTAAATTCCAAGAAACTCCCATAGTCAAAGCCAACAATCAGGACCTCTCCTACATCCTCCTCATCTCCCTCCTGCTTTCCTTCTTGACCTCCTTCCTATTTGTTGGCCGGCCAAGGAGAGCCACTTGCCTTCTCCAACAACCAGCATTCAGCAACATCTTCTCAATTGCTATTTCTACTGTCTTGGCCAAAACAGTCACAGTGGTGTTAGCCTTCTTGGCCACAAAACCAGGGAATAAAGTGCAGAGATGGCTGGGGAAGAGCCTGGCCAATTCTATCATCCTTTCTTGCTCTGGTGTCCAAGTTGCCCTCTGCAGCATCTGGTTGGGAATTTCTCCCCCATTCCCTGAGTCTGACATGTTCTTACAATCTGGGGAAATCATCCTGCAATGTAATGAAGGCTCTGTTGCCATATTCTACCTTGCCCTTGGCTACATGGGCTTCCTGTCTGTCATCTGCTTCACAGTAGCTTTCCTGGCCAGGAATCTACCTGGGGGCTTCAATGAAGCCAAGCTGATCACCTTCAGCATGCTGGTCTTCTGCAGCGTCTGGGTCTCCTTTGTGCCCACCTACCTGAGCACCAAGGGGAAGTATATGGTGGCCGTGCAGGTCTTCTCCATCTTGGCCTCCAGTGCTGGCCTGTTGGGCTTCATTTTCATTCCCAAATGTTACATTCTTTTCCTAACACCAGATCTGAATACAAAAGAACATTTGTTGTCAAAATAAAATTGAAAGTAATTTTTGGTACGTCTTATCCCAAAATGCCAATTAATTATTCCAAAAATATTATTTCCTACTTTAATATTCCTAAAACAGCATTCACACACAATCCTATTTTTATTTTATTATTTTGCATCACAATAGAAATAAACCACCACTTTTTAATAAACCCATTTCCCCTTTTTTTCTTTGTATTTAATCATGTAGAAAACTGGGCTAGGTGTGGGCGTGCTTTGGGTGAGTATAGTATTTTGCCAGGGGTACATTTGAAGCAGAGACCCAAAAAGAATTACATGGAGTAAATTGATTTATGGATAGTGGTGTTGCAGACTGTTTATACAGTTATGCAAAGTAGACTGTATATTTCTCTGTCCACTTACTGGTATATCTTATATAGTCACCCTCTGGGGGAGAGGGACGACATATACATTCAGTAAATAAATAAATATTATTATTATTTCTTTTTTTATTTATTTATTTATTTATTTATAATGTTTGAATGGCCACCCAGCTTAAACACAACTTTGTCTATTTTTTACATTATTATATTATATTTTCCTCATATTCTAATGACTTCAAGACATCTCAACCCCTCCTAAGGCCTACAGTTAAATCAGATTTCCAGCGTATCCCTCCTACTGACATGCCAATCCACAATCCTCAAAGGTGTTAACCTGACCCATCCATGTACTGACAAGGGAGGAATATTGCATGCTGCCACCAAGGTACTCTGAGAGCACCAAGAGTGTTCCTATAGACCCAAAAGCAAGGGGAGACATTCTCAACAATTTGCTCCTCAATGTGGAGTCTCTGGTGCTGGTTAGTAGAATCAGAGCTTTTGTGTTTCTGGTCTCCCACTTAAGAAACCAATTGAAGGAGG